TCGCACCTGTAGATCTGTTAAAAATGAGATGTCAGGGTTATTTTTTCATTTCGGCCTCAATTGGACGACAATTTATCCATCGCACCCTGTAGATCTGTTAAAATGAGATGTCAGGGTTATTTTTCATTTCGGCCTCAATTGGACGACAATTTATCCATCGCACCCTGTAGATCTGTTAAAATGAGATGTCAGTGTTATTTTCATTTCGGCCTCAATTGGACGGCAATTTATCCATCGCATCCTGTAGATCTGTTAAAATGAGATGTCAGTGTTATTTTCATTTCGGCCTCAATTGGACGGCAATTTATCCATCGCACCCTGTAGATCTGTTAAAATGAGATGTCAGGGTTATTTTCATTTCGGCCTCAATTGGACGACAATTTATCCATCGCACCCTGTAGATCTGTTAAAATGAGATGTCAGGGTTATTTTCATTTCGGCCTCAATTGGACGACAATTTATCCATCGCACCCTGTAGATCTGTTAAAATGAGATGTCAGGTTATTTTCATTTCGGCCTCAATTGGACGCAATTTATCCATCGCATCCTGTAGATCTGTTAAAATGAGATGTCAGTGTTATTTTCATTTCGGCCTCAATTGGACGACAATTTATCCATCACCCACCCTGTAGATCTGTTAAAAATGAGATGTCATCTGTTATTTTCATTTCGGCCTCAATTGGACGGCAATTTATCCATCGCACCCTGTAGATCTGTTAAAATGAGATGTCAGGGTTATTTTCATTCGGCCTCAATTGGAAAATTTATCCAAGACAGATCTGTTAAAATGAGATGTCAGTGTTATTTTTTCATTTCGGCGTAAAATGAGGTTATTTTTCATTTCGGCCTCAATTACCCCTCAATTGGATGTCAGGAGCAATTTATCCATCGCATCCTGTAGATCTGTTAAAATGAGATGTCAGTGTTATTTTCATTTCGGCCTCAATTGGACGGCAATTTATCCATCGCATCCTGTAGATCTGTTAAAATGAGATGTCAGTGTTATTTTCATTTCGGCCTCAATTGGACGGCAATTTATCCATCGCATCCTGTAGATCTGTTAAAATGAGATGTCAGTGTTATTTTCATTTCGGCCTCAATTGGACGGCAATTTATCCATCGCACCCTGTAGATCTGTTAAAATGAGATGTCAGTGTTATTTTCATTTCGGCCTCAATTGGACAATTTTATCCATCGCATCCTGTAGATCTGTTAAAATGAGATGTCATGTAGTGTTAAAATGAGATGTCAGTGTTATTTTCATTTCGGCCTCAATTGGACAATTTATCCATCGCACCCTGTAGATCTGTTAAAATGAGATGTCAGTGTTATTTTATTTAAAATTTCGGCCTCAATTGGACGGCAATTTATCCATCGCACCCTGTAGATCTGTTAAAATGAGATGTCAGGGTTATTTTCATTCGGCCTCAATTGGACGACAATTTATCCATCGCACCCTGTAGATCTGTTAAAATGAGATGTCAGGGTTATTTTCATTCGGCCTCAATTGGACGACAATTTATCCATCGCACCCTGTAGATCTGTTAAAATGAGATGTCAGGGTTATTTTCATTCGGCCTCAATTGGACGACAATTTATCCATCGCACCCTGTAGATCTGTTAAAATGAGATGTCAGGGTTATTTTCATTTCGGCCTCAATTGGACGGCAATTTATCCATCGCACCCTGTAGATCTGTTAAAATGAGATGTCAGGGTTATTTTCATTTCGGCCTCAATTGGACGACAATTTATCCATCGCACCCTGTAGATCTGTTAAAATGAGATGTCAGTGTTATTTTCATTTCGGCCTCAATTGGACGGCATCCAATTTATCCATCGCACCCTGTAGATCTGTTAAAATGAGATGTCAGGGTTATTTTCATTTCGGCCTCAATTGGACGACAATTTATCCATCGCACCCTGTAGATCTGTTAAAATGAGATGTCAGGGTTATTTTCATTCGCAATTTATCCATCGCACCCTGTAGATCCTCAATTGGAGTTATTTTCATTCGGCCTCAATTGGACGGCAATTTATCCATCGCACCCTGTAGATCTGTTAAAATGAGATGTCAGGGTTATTTTTCATTTCGGCCTCAATTGGACGGCAATTTATCCATCGCACCTATAGATCTGTTAAAATGAGATGTCAGTGTTATTTTCATTTCGGCCTCAATTGGACGACAATTTATCCATCGCACCCTGTAGATCTGTTAAAATGAGATGTCAGGGTTATTTCATTCGGCCTCAATTGGACCTCCAATTGGATCTGTTAAAATGAGATGTCAGTGTTATTTTTCAATTTATCCATCGCACCCTGTAGATCTGTTAAAATGAGATGTCAGTGTTATTTTTCATTTCGGCCTCAATTGGACGGCAATTTATCCATCGCATCCTGTAGATCTGTTAAAATGAGATGTCAGGGTTATTTTCATTTCGGCCTCAATTGGACGACAATTTATCCATCGCACCCTGTAGATCTGTTAAAATGAGATATCAGTGTTATTTTCATTTCGGCCTCAATTGGACGACAATTTTATCCATCGCACCCTGTAGATCTGTTAAATGAGATGTCAGTGTTATTTTTCATTTTCGGCCTCAATTGGACGGCAATTTATCCATCGCATCCTGTAGATCTGTTAAAATGAGATGTCAGTGTTATTTTTCATTTCGGCCTCAATTGGACGGCAATTTATCCATCGCACCCTGTAGATCTGTTAAAATGAGATGTCAGTGTTATTTTCATTTCGGCCTCAATTGGACGACAATTTATCCATCGCACCCTGTAGATCTGTTAAAATGAGATGTCAGTGTTATTTTCATTTCGGCCTCAATTGGACGGCAATTTATCCATCGCATCCTGTAGATCTGTTAAAATGAGATGTCAGGGTTATTTTCATGTCGGCCTCAATTGGACGACAATTTATCCATCGCACCCTGTAGATCTGTTAAAATGAGATGCCAGTGTTATTTTCATTTCGGCCTCAATTGGACGACAATTTATCCATCGCACCCTGTAGATCTGTTAAAATGAGATGTCAGTGTTATTTTCATTTCGGCCTCAATTGGACGGCAATTTATCCATCGCATCCTGTAGATCTGTTAAAATGAGATGTCAGTGTTATTTTCATTTCGGCCTCAATTGGACGGCAATTTATCCATCGCACCCTGTAGATCTGTTAAAATGAGATGTCAGTGTTATTTTTTCATTTCGGCCTCAATTGGACGACAATTTATCCATCGCACCCTGTAAAAAATGAGATGTCAGTGTTATTTTCATTTCGGCCTCAATTGGACGGCAATTTATCCATCGCATCCTGTAGATCTGTTAAAATGAGATGTCAGGGTTATTTTCATGTCGGCCTCAATTGGACGACAATTTATCCATCGCACCCTGTAGATCTGTTAAAATGAGATGCCAGTGTTATTTTTCATTTCGGCCTCAATTGGACGACAATTTATCCATCGCACCCTGTAGATCTGTTAAAATGAGATGTCAGTGTTATTTTCATTTCGGCCTCAATTGGACGGCAATTTATCCATCGCATCCTGTAGATCTGTTAAAATGAGATGTCAGTGTTATTTTCATTTTGGCCTCAATTGGACGACAATTTATCCATCGCACCCTGTAGATCTGTTAAAATGAGATGTCAGGTTATCGCATCCTGTTCTGTTTTTCATTTCGGCCTCAATTGGACGGCAATTTATCCATCGCACCCTGTAGATCTGTTAAATGAGATGTCAGTGTTATTTTCATTTCGGCCTCAATTGGACGGCAATTTATCCATCGCACCCTGTAGATCTGTTAAAATGAGATGTCAGGGTTATTTTCATTCGGCCTCAATTGGACGGCAATTTATCCATCGCACCCTGTAGATCTGTTAAAATGAGATGTCAGGGGTTATTTTCATTTCGGCCTCAATTGGACGACAATTTATCCATCGCACCCTGTAGATCTGTTAAAATGAGATGTCAGGGGTTATTTTCATTTCGGCCTCAATTGGACGGCAATTTATCCATCGCACCCTGTAGATCTGTTAAAATGAGATGTCAGGGTTATTTTCATTTGGCCTCAATTGGACGACAATTTATCCATCGCACCCTGTAGATCTGTTAAAATGAGATGTCAATGTTATTTTCATTTTGGCGTCATTTAGACGACTTCCATCCTGTATAGTAACCCCCAAAAAAAACCCCAATAAAATCAATTAAGAAGTGAGAAAATCTATATACAACATGAAGAAGATGGCACGAATGAAAACAATAAAACATCGTTAGAGAAAGAAAATAAATGCCATAAAAAAAATGATAAAGTAAAAACCTAATCTCGAATAGGTATAAATTTACCAAAGATCGTGACCTCTAGACCGTAACCAGCCTTGGGCCGTAAAATAAGGAAAGGAATAGTATTACCGTTACTAATAAACACATAAAATATTAAATTTAATAAACTGACAAACCTGAAAAGTAATAGTCAGTCATTTAAATGCCATACGCTATACATGCATGGGCGATCATGTCTCTTTCGATGCATGACTGACCAGGCAGATTTTTTTCCCGCAGTAGGTTGCCATTTTTTTCCTACGGTGGAATTGGTTGCCAACACAATCTGTCCTGCTATTCAACCTATTCTCGGGAGATTAAGAGATCGATTCATATCTTTCCCAGGGGTATTTGCGCGTAATTGAATCTAATCCCTACAACTGGAATTCGAACTCGGCTCCATTACACCATAGCGCACATCCGCGCATGACATTACTGATGCAAATAAACAAAACAAAAACTAAACAAACACTGAATGATTCTAATCTGGCCGGGATCGAAATGAATAATGAATTTTAATTATCGAATATTAGAAATGAAAATGTTGGAGATGTAAGAATGAAAAATGGCGTCTTGAATAATGGGTGAGACTGAAAGGTTCAAAAGTAAATACAAAATGAATAAAAATAAAACAGAGAAGGGGAGAGAGAGAGAGTTAGAGAGAGAAAGAGAGTAACGTAGAGGGAAAGATGTGGAAAGAAAAAGAGAAAGAGTGAGAGAAAGAAAGAGGGAGAGAGAGAGAGAAAAAAGAGGGAGTAAGAGAAAGAGAAAGAGAGAGGATACAAAATTACGGGAAAATTGCGGGAAGAAAATCTCATTAAAAGAAAAAAAGAGAGAACAATGATCGTGTCCCCAAGAACGTAACCAGCCTTGGGCCGTAAAATATGCATTTTACAAATAATGTATATTTTACGTCTACCTTTGATATCTAGGCATAAAAATTTATAAATTATTTACAAAAACATTGAAAGTATTTTGACTGATTGCTTTGTTTTTTTAGGGCTTATCAACCCTTTGCAGGTTATTTAAAGGCATAAAAAATTGGGATTTTAATAATTCTGGGGTGATAATAATAAATCAGGAGATAGTTGGGGAAATGAGAATAAACATTGTTACGAAACGAAAAAGAGAGAAAGAGAAAACCTATTCCCTAATTGTTTACAGTTTCACCAAAGATCGTAACCAGCCTTGGGCCGTAAAATATGCTACTATCTCTATCTATAAAAAGCAGGATGTGTGCGTGCGTGTGTGTGTGTGTGTGTGTGTGTGTGTGTGTGTGTGTGTGTGTGTGTGTGACGAATGCACGGCCGCAATTTTCGACGGATTTGCACCAATATTTACATGCAAATGCTCCAAGTTAGTGGGAAGGCCAAGACTGACTTCGCATTTCCCAACTCCCATCGATAGTAGAAATAATCGAATTTTTCATGTTTCTACGGCAGTTTTCATGTAGTTTGCGGCCATTTTCTACTGGCCAGAGTGAGTGCTAATAGCTGGCTGCCACAAATAGACAGGAAGATTCTACTGGCCAGCGTGAGAGCCAACAGATGACTGACACGAATGTTAACTAGCATGCAAAAAAAAAATCGATAGCTGCATTCGTCACAAGTGGGAAAAATTTAAATCTGCATGGGACTTTACTCCAATTGGCTCATTCGCTTGCTTAAACTCAACGTTGATTCTGATTCCGCAGAACTGGGTTGGGTGTGAAAAAGTATTTGTTGTTAACATTCTTTTTTCATTCGGTTTTTCCAGTTACGAGTCCTTTTTTTAAAGCTGATCGTTTTGTGTTCATTTTGTTTAGTTCTTTTTTCGTAACAGATTTAATGTTTAGTATAGAGCTTAGAAAAAATTCGCAGTGTGAGATAGGCAAGAAGTAAGGCATTTAGCAACATCAGCACGGCAAAGGGCACTCCTTTAAAGGCAAGGAAGGGCAAAGATATTTTAAGTCAAGTGATAGCGATTGCTGTATGAGTCATACGATTTTTGAAACAATCACGGGCAACGCCGGGCCATGCTGCTAGTATTGAATAACAGTTAAACTGAGATCTAAATAAAAAAAAATTGAGAATAAAAAATAAACACGAAGAAATGTGAAAAACAATATAAGGAGAAAATAGAACGAATACATACATCAGTAAAGAAAAGAATAAAAGAAAACAATGAAAAAAATAATAGAAAGACAAAAAAAAAACCCTCTTCGTGCATTAGTGCGGCTTTTCTTAAAGATCATGACCTCACTGCCGAAACCAGCCTTGGGCCGTAAAATGTATGAAAAAATAGTAAAAATAATGTTAACGTATATTTTGGGGAGTTCGGTTAAAAGAGATTAGAGAGAATGAAGATCAAGCGACAATAAGGTCCACCGTAAAATGTACGAGACGTTCCCAATTAGATAGATATAGGGATTTTCCAAGCGTAGCTTACATTTGACAGAAGGCCAAATGTAGAGGGGGGTGCACATCCAATGAGAATCGAACTCATAATTGTTCTAGCGAGACATGCTTGCTAACTATTACGCCACGCCGAGGCGCCCCAAAACAACTTCAATCGAATAAATCAGTGGTTTGTGTGCCCGGAAAAGGGGAAAAATAAATTCCTTATATTTTTTTTATAAGATACTAACAGTAGAGCCCGGCGTTGCCCGGGGATGTAACAGTAAGAGATAGATCAAGTATCGACCATCATAAAGACTGAAAAATAAAATTGACAAAGATTATTGTTTAAGGTTGACGGACACGCATGTCTTAATTAGTTTTTTTTTTTTTTTACGGATTGATCAAACCCAAACTCAAACAAAAACATTGTTTTCAATCATTATGAGTCTATCGATTGAATAGAATTTTATTATAAACAATTGTCTTGTAAATGGAATTTTTAAAGCATTCTGAATGTAAAAAAAAAAAGAAAAAGTGTGCAAGACAATAAGAAACACTACCTGCCAAAAAAATAAGTGAAGTTTTGTTGAAATCGGTTGAAAAATGTTGGAAATCCGATCCTATATAAACACACACACACACACACACACACACACACACACACACACACACACACACAAAAAAAAAAAAAACAACCTGGGTTTTATAATAAGTATAACTCGATATGAGTTGTCCCCCTTTCATTCTCGCACAGCGATGCCTCTTAATCGTGTTTTCAAATTGATTTCGTGCAAAAACAATTGTGTTTTTACAATTTTTGGCGCTGTCAGAACCACCGCAAGGTAATTTTACGTAGTCCTGTGAAGTTTTGTTGAAATCGGTTGAAAAATGTAGGAAATCCGATCCAATATATAAACGAACAGACACACACACACAACTTGGGTTTTATAATAAGTATGATGGCGCAATGGTAGTTGTAGGTAAAAAGATCAAGTTTATAGTCAATATCAATGAAATTCCATGGAATATCACAAGAAAAATCCCAGCGTTTACAAAAACATATAAACTACAATGTCAACAATTCGCCCTTGCATGGAGTATTACTGCTATATATGGTCTGTTTGCCTCGGGGTTCTTGATAGGCTCCAGAGGCGGATATGCAATATAATTGGCCCTGTTCTGGCATCTCGTCTACAGCCGCTCTCTCACAGACGCGCCGTTGCCTCTCTCTGTCTGTTTTACAAATACTTTCATGGCAATTGTTCCGAGGAGCTGCATTCGCTGGTTCCCAGACTTCATGAGTTCAAGCGCTTTACGAGGCTGGCATCTCGCTCTCACCCTTTCACTGTTGAAACTCCTAAATGTAGCCGTCTCTTCTACTCCAATAGCTTCATGTCACGCACCTCTCGCCTGTGGAACTCCCTTCACTATTCCAGTTTCCCTGAGAGCTATAATCTCCAGCTATTAAAATGTAATGTCTATCGACAATTCCAGTTGCCTTGATCTATCCACTATCCTTCTACTCATCCTTTCCTCTATCACTCCTATCTGATCTTGCTCCAAATTTTCTGTAACCGCTTGCATCCTAGTGGCTTCCCGCCTTGCTTAAAGGTATAAAAGTTCGTAATAGTTCTTGTGATTTGATGTGGGTTGTCTAAGTTCATGACAGAATCCGTTTATGCCTTCAGTGTTTAGAGCGCCATTTTAAGAACAGTACTTTTTCACTGACGAGGAAACGACTATTTTGTTATGATAGACGGAGTGAAAATAAGGCTTAATTCCTTCATGAAAACAACAATTTGGTTGTCAACATCACGTTGGGATGAATAGCGGCCGCGCCTTTAAGACAAGGTTTCATCTTTTTTTTTTTTTTTTCAGAAGGCGTCGCGTCTCCAACTTACCAGCGTCGATTTCACGTTGATCGGCGTTGGCATCTTCCGGTTTCATGATGATCGGCCGCCACATCTACGACTTCCTGGTATCGCATTCACGATCATCAGGCGGTCAGGTCACCCACTTCCCGGCGTCGCTTTCCCGATCATCGGCGGTCACGTTTATGACCTCCCGGCATCGCTTTCACGATCATCGGTGTTCACGTCTCCCACTTACCGGCGTCGCTTTCACGATCATCAAACCTAAACGAATCCGGATTGAATCTGAAGTCCTAAACATGTCTTCTCCAGATACAGATGTATCTCAATATTATGTGAAACCTTTCATTTTTGTTTCTGCTTCGCTGTGTAGATATATGTGATATAATTTTCTCTGCGTGGGACATGTGTATATATGTATATATATTTTTGTGTATGTCTTATGAGTATAAAATGTTTGTGATTCCTTTTCTTTTCAACCATTCCTTTCAGTCCGTTAAGTATATCACGAAATAAAATAATAGCCATAGCGCGGGGGGGGGTTATGGTTGGGGGATAGGCTTATGAAGAGAAACAACTCTAAGAGCTTCACGTGATAGGAAGTTGTAGAGGTCCTTGTTCACCTATCTCCACTTCCTTCGTGCTCCATTGATTAAGAGCATGCACTACCCAGACAGCTTCTTCCACAGAATTATTACTTCGTGGGACACGCTCACGAGAGGATTCTTCCCGGACAACGACAACAACATTGGTCTCTTTAAGGCCAGACTCATCAGATATCTGTCCTGGGTATGACGATAAACTATATCCCGCAGCTAGAAGACAAAATGTATCGTCAATAGGAAGAGAAGAAGCCCAAGATGCGAGTTAACATCAAGCTAGTACAAAAGTTTAAACGATCTGGGAAGCATTATAATGCGACACCGAAATCCGAGGCAGTGGACTAACGGAAGAAGCATTCCAAAATCTAAGCAAAATGCTGAGAGACGGGAAAGAGGGTAAGTGAAAAACGGAGGAAGCAGAAATATGGTTCTACAGGAGGATGCTGAGAATTCCACGGACGGAGCAGGCAAGCCACGAAGAAGTTTTAGAGGAAGTAGAAATGTAATTATTCTCGGAAGCAGAAAGGGACTGCTGATATTTCTTGCACACACAATGAGGAAGGACAGCTTGGAGAATATGACTCTCACAGGACACATCGAGTTCAAGTGGGATAGAGGAAGGCAGCGGTCCACCTACTTGTGTGAATGGATGGCAGAACAGGAAGTAGTTGACTTGGCAAAGGGAGAAATAGTATTTAAGGGCGGCCAGGGGCAGAAAGCTTTGGAGAACCAAGATCGCCGACGTCCCGATAGACCCTGGCGGCACAAAGAAGAAGAAGAAGAAGAAGAAGGAGGAGGAGGAGGAGGAGGAGGAAAATAAAGAAAAATGAGAAAAAATATGAGAACTGGAAGGGGAGATGAGAAAATGAAGAAAGATAAGAAGAAGAGGACGGAGATGAGAAGAAGAAGAAGAAGAAGAAGAAGAAGAAGAAGAAGAAGAAGAAGAAGAAGAAGAAGAAGAAGGAGGAGGAGGAGGAGGAAAATAAAGAAAAATGAGAAAAAAATATGAAAACTCGAAGGGGAGATGAGAAAATGAAGAAAGATAAGAAGAAGAGGACAGAGATGAGAAGAAGAAGAAGAAGAAGAAGAAGAAGAAAGTTGTGAAGAAGAAAGAGAATAGAAGAAGAAAGATGAGAAGAAGAAGAAGAAGAAGAAGAAGAAAGTTGTGAAGAAGAAAGAGAATAGAAGAAGAAAGATGAGAAGAAGAAGAAGAAGAAGAAGAAAGTTGTGAAGAAGAAAGAGAATAGAAGAAAAGATGAGAAGAAGAAGAAGAAGAAGAAGAAAAGAAATGAAGAAAAGAATAGAAGAAGAAAAAGATGAGAAGAAGAAGAAGAAGAAGAAGAAAGTTGTGAAGAAGAAAGAGAATAGAAGAAGAAAGATGAGAAGAAGAAGAACAACAACAACAAAAAAAGGACAAGAAAAATGAGAAAAAGAAAGAGAAAAAGAAGAAAGACAAGAAGAAAAAGAAAAAGATGTGAAGAGGGAAAGGAGATGAGAAAATGAAGAAAGATGAGAAGAAGAGAACGAAGAGAAGATGTAGAAGAAGAAGAAGAACAACAACAACAAGAAAGATGAGAAGAAGAAAGAGAAAAAATGAGAAGAGGAGGAGGGAAATGAGAAACAAAAAGATGACAAGAAGAAGAAGAAGAAGAAGAAGAAGACGAAGAAGAACACGAACGAGAACAAGAAAGATGTGACGAAGAAAGAGAAAAAGAAGAAGATAGATGAGAAGAAGAAGATGAGAAGAAAAAAAGAGAAGAAGAAGAAGATGAAAAACAACAACAACAAAGATGTGAAGAAGAAAGAGCAAAAGAAGAAGAAAGATGAAAAGAAGAAAGTTGTGAAGAAGAAAGAGAAAAGAAGATGTTAGATGAGAAGAAGAAGATGAGAAGAAGAAAGAGAAGAAGAAAGATAAGAAAAACAACAACAAGAAAGATGTGAAGAAGAAAGAGAAAAAGAAGAAGATAGATGAGAAGAAGACAAAGAAGAAAAAGAAAGATGAGAAGAAGAAAGAGAAGAAGAAGATGAAAAACACAACAACAACAAAGACGTGAAGAAGAAAGAGCAAAAGAAGAAGACAGATGAGAAGAAGAAGAAGAAGAATAAGAAAGATGTGAAGAAGAAAGATAAGAAGAAGAAGAAGAAGAAGAAGAAGAAGAAAGATGTGAAGAAGAAAGAGCAAAAGAAGAAAGAAGAAGAAGAAGAAGAAGAAGAAGAAGAAGAAAGATGTGAAGGAGAAAGAGAAAAAGAAGAAGAAGAAAAGGAAGAAAGAGAAAAAAATGAGGAGGGAAATGAGAAAAAGAAGAAACATGAGAAGAAGAAGAAGAAGAAGAAGAAGAAGAAGAAGAAGAAGAAAGAAAAAATGAGAAGAGGCGGAGGGAAATGACAAAAAGAAGAAAGATGACAAGAGAACGAAGAAGAAGAAGAAGAAGAAGAAGAAGAAGAAGAAGAAGAAAGAAAGAAAAAGAAGAAGACCATTTTTTAGCATAGAAGATTGTTGAATAACTGTTGCTGACACTACAAACGCAGTTTTGGTATTTCGTATATTATCGGTCACACGATGCTCTCAGAAATTAAATTGTTTGTAATCTTTTGATCCTAACATACTGACAGATATCGATGTCAGTTTCAATCAAATATATTTTTCAATAAGTTTTAAATGAAATGTAAGTAATATCCAGAAAAAATTTAATTAAATTAAATAATTTCCGTTGTATTTTATGGATACTTGTACACACACTTACATATGTACATGCCCACACATATACCTCGGAGTACATATATACACACACATCCACGCATATACACATTTTAGAGCATTTCTTGTACACATATATAGACACATACATATATTTCTCATATTTATAAATTTGTACATATATCCATGTATATGAGCCTACACATTATGAACACATTTATAAGCACATACATACATATATATATATATATATATATATATATATATATATATATATATATATATATATATATATATATATTATATAAATATATTATAATTATCTATTTTAAAATATGGTTTCCATCCCTACACAGGAATTACGAAGCTTCAAAACAGAAAGTAAAATTTTAAATTTAATTATAAAATTAAATTTAAAATCAATAACTCTATTTCTTTTGCAAGTGATTTTTTGAATAACCTATCGAGATATTTAATTTTTAAATTTTTAACGAGACAACAAAATTTTTAAATTGTTAAGGTTACTGAAAATTCAATTCTTTTTTAAAATGCATCAAATAAAAAATTTAATGAATTTTTAGTTACAGAAAATTCAATTCCCTAGACAACTTATGCATCAAATAAAAAAAATTTATTGAATTTATAAGCACAAAAATGTTAATATTTTAAATTGTTAAGGTTACGGAAAATTCAATTCTTTTTAAAAAGGGTGGTTGGATTTTAATTTCCCTAGACAACTTATGCATCAAATAAAAGAAATTTAATGAATTTTTATAGCACAAAAAATGTTAATTTTTAAATTGTTAAGGTTACAGAAAATTCAATTCTTTTTTATAAAATTGGTTGGATTTTTTTTTCCCTAGACAACTTATGCATCAAATAAAAAAATTTAATGAATTTATAAGCACAGACAATGTTGATATTTTAAATTGTTAAGGTTACTGAAAATTCAATTCTTTTTAAAAAGGGTGGTTGGATTTTAATTTCCCTAGACAACTTATGCATCAAATAAAAGAAATTTAATGAATTTATAAGCACAAAAAATGTTAATATTTTAAATTGTTAAGGTTACGGAAAATTCAATTCTTTTTATAAGGGGTGGTTGGATTTTAATTTCCCTAGACAACTTATGCATCAAATAAAAAGAAATTTAATGAATTTATAAGCATTTCAGAAGAATTCAGACAATGTTAATATTTTAAATTTTAAGGTTACAGAAAATTCAATTCTTTTTATAAATTGGTTGAAAATTCAATTCTTTTTGGGTTTTAATTTCCCTAGACAACTTATGCATCAAATAAAAGAAATTTAATGAATTTATAAGCACAGACAATGTTAATATTTTAAATTGTTAAGGTTACAGAAAATTCAATTCTTTTTATAAGGGGTGGTTGGATTTTAATTTCCCTAGACAACTTATGCATCAAATAAAAGAAATTTAATGAATTTATAAGCACAGACAATGTTAATATTTTAAATTGTTAAGGTTACAGAAAATTCAATTCTTTTTATAAGGGGTGGTTGGGTTTTAATTTCCCTAGACAACTTATGCATCAAATAAAAGAAATTTAATGAATTTATAAGCACAAACAATGTTAATATTTTAAATTGTTAAGGTTACAGAAAATTCAATTCTTTTTTAAAAAGGGTTGGATTTTAATTTTGGATTTTAATTTTCCAGACAATGTTAATATTTTAAATTGTTAAGGTTAGAAAAATTCAATTCTTATGGTTGTTTTAATTTCCCATCAAATAAAAGAAATTTAATGAATTTATAAGCACAGACAATGTTAATATTTTAAATTGTTAAGGTTACAGAAAATTCAATTCTTTTTATAAGGGGTGGTTGGATTTTAATTTCCCTAGACAACTTATGCATCAAATAAAAGAAATTTAATGAATTTATAAGCACAAAAAATGTTAATATTTTAAATTGAAATTTAATGAAGTTATAAGAAAATTCAATTCTTTTTATAAATTCAATTCTTTTGGTTTTTTAATTTCCCTAGACAACTTATGCATCAAATAAAAGAAATTTAATGAATTTATAGCACAAACAATGTTAATATTTTAAATTTTAAGGTTACAGAAAATTCAATTCTTTTTATAAAAGAATGGTTGGATTTTAATTTCCCTAGACAACTTATGCATCAAATAAAAAGAAATTTAATGAATTTATAAGCACAAAACAATGTTAATATTTTAAATTGTTAAGGTTACAGAAAATTCAATTCTTTTTTATAAAGGGTTGGTTGGATTTTAATTTCCCTAGACAACTTATGCATCAAATAAAAAGAAATTTAATGAATTTATAAGCACAAAAAATGTTAATATTTTAAATTGAAAATTCAATTCTTTTTTAAGGTTACAGAAAATTCAATTCTGTTTTTTAAAAGGGGTGGTTGGGTTTTAATTTCCCTAGACAACTTATGCATCAAATAAAAGAAATTTAATGAATTTATAAGCACAGACAATGTTAATATTTTAAATTGTTAAGGTTACAGAAAATTCAATTTTTTTTTCAAATAAGGGGTGGTTTTTAAATTTTAATTTCCCTAGACAACTTATGCATCAAATAAAAGAAATTTAATGAATTTATAAGCACAAACAATGTTAATATTTTAAATTGTTAAGGTTACAGAAAATTCAATTCTTTTTATAAAAATTGGTTGGGTTTTAATTTCCTAGACAACTTATGCATCAAATAAAAGAAATTTAATGAATTTATAAGCACAAACAATGTTAATATTTTAAATTGTTAAGGTTACAGAAAATTCAATTCTTTTTAATAAGGGTGGTTGGATTTTAATTTCCCTAGACAACTTATGCATCAAATAAAAGAAATTTAATGAATTTATAAGCACAGACAATGTTAATATTTTAAATTGTTAAGGTTACAGAAAATTCAATTCTTTTTATAAGAAATTGGTTGGGTTACAGAAAATTCAATTCTTTTATATAAATGTTAATATTTAAATTGGTTGAAAATTCAATTCTTTTTTGGTTTTTAATTTCCCTAGACAACTTATGCATCAAAATTTAAAAGACAATGTTAATATTTTTTAATGAATTCTTTTTTAGGGGTGGTTGGTTTTAAGCACAAAAATGTTAATATTTTTAAATTGTTAAAGGTTACAGAAAATTCAATTCTTTTTTATAAGGGGGGTGGTTGGGTTTTAATTTCCCTAGACAACTTATGCATCAAATAAAAGAAATTTAAATTTTAATGAATTTATAAGCACAAAAATGTTAATATTTTAAATTGCATTAAAAGGTTACAGAAAATTCAATTAAATTTTTTTTAGGGGGTGGTTGGATTTTAATTTCCCTAGACAACTTATGCATCAAATAAAAGAAATTTAATGAATTTATAAGCACAAAAAATGTTAATATTTTAAATTGTTAAGGTTACAGAAAATTCAATTCTTTTTATAAGGGGTGGTTGGATTTTAATTTCCCTAGACAACTTATGCATCAAATAAAAGAAATTTAATGAATTTATAAGCACAAAAACAATGTTAATATTTTAAATTATCAAATAAAAAATAAGTTACGGAAAATTCAATTCTTTTTTATAAAGGGGTGGTTGGATTTTAATTTCCCTAGACAACTTATGCATCAAATAAAAGAAATTTAATGAATTTATAAGCACAAAAATGTTAATATTTTAAATT